CCAATGACTTCCTGCCTACTAGTGCAGATGTCTCACCGTTCAACCACCAAATTTGCCGGGGTCGACTGACTGGTTCAAATCTGATATAGGCCTAGTAGCGGGGACCACAGCCAAATTACATGTATTCAGCAGATGAAATTTTGCATCAGGGTGATGTAAATTCAATGTTGGGTTTTGCCCGACACCGACGTATTTTCATAAAAAGTGCCTACTGAACGCTGAAATTTCGTGTTTTTAATTAGTTTCGTGAAAATGACCGTTGCAGATCAACTAACTTTATACCGATGCATAGCACAAGGATTTATAACCATATGCTGTCTCATGAACATGTACATACATTAGGTGTTTCTTTTTTTCTTTTTTAACAAAATACCCACATTTATGAAATACCTGTTTGTAATCCTTGATTTCAATTACTCGAAATTAAAAAAAAAATTTAATAACTACATACCAAGATAGAAAAGTAAAAGGCAAAAGAAACAAGAACAGAACCAGAGATCAAACAAGCTTTGGGGAGAACCAACCAAGTACGAAAGGAATGCTACAGAGGTTTTCCAAACCCTGGCTTCGTCTCCGGCTACAAGTGTATCTCTCACTTGAGAATCATGAAATTTCCAAACCAAAATGGACATTCTGGGAACTGTGCCCTCATTTCATGTTCATAAAGCAGGTGTCTTAAATCTTGTGAAGCCAAAGCTGAAGACGTGGTTTGCGAAAAACCTCTGTAACGCAATTGCTACATGTTTATGTACATTTAGTGAAATCAAAAACAGGATCCAACCCAGCCATACATCAGTCTGAAGTCACCAGATAAGAGCTAATATGGAAATCAACAGGAACTATGAAAAATATCATCCACACAACGTCCATATGTGAGGGGTTCTGGCAAAATGGGACAGAACTGGGCAGAAAGTCGCGATGAGAGTTTGCAGGTATTAGTAAACATGAAATTTTCCTTACAGTACCGTTTGTTGCACTTCAATCGGACATTCCGTTGACAAGTCACGGCTGTTTAAAGTTTGCACGTATCAACATATCAAAAAGTTAAATACCGAGAAAAGGCCTTTAAAATTTCGACATTTTTTTTTTGGGGGGGGGGTGTCATGAAATGAAAGATGCCAATTGTTTCCTACTAAAAACACTTTTAGTCAAAAATGTTGATACTCTTTTTTTAAATGTGTGTAGTATTAAACATATCAAAGATTACAAATATCAATAAATCTGGAAAAAATAAAATCGCCCCATTTTGGTGTGTCGCATTTTTCTCCACTCAAAATTGTCCGTCTCATTTTGCCAAAACGCCTCACATATTTCATAAGGATGTCAAGCAGTGATAATCAAAATACAGGGCAGAACACGCTAATGACCCTTTCACGCAGTCCACTATCTCTGTGTTGGGCCTGTATTGACCCCACTGACCCTGATTGATCTCAACACAGGTAGGTGAGAAATCAAGAAAAGGCCTTGATGAACAGGACAAACTAATTTGAGTACGTGTAATAAAAAAGTGTCGTTAAGACTCATTTTGTGGGATTTCTTCAACACTGTTTGCAAGTCAAGGAGTGACCGAGATTTAATACCATTTGTTGGCTTGCCATTATTATGAATATAATTGAGAATGAGCAGTTAATAGTTACTAAAGCAAATACACAAAAGAAAAACCCAAAATAAAAAAAGAGGAAAGAAAACAAAGAGACTTCCCATTCCATTGATGATTTCATTGAAATAACCGCATAGAAATGTTAAAAGCTATTAATTCCATTTTCTTATATTTTCACTTAAATAAATCATCACAGGCACTATTAGATTATCATAATTAAGCAGAAATAATCAACACAAAAAAACTTTCTAGCTCAGTGTCTTATATCCAACTAAAACATAAAATAATGAATTCTCTACATCTTTGATATCACACCGATATATAAAATTAATAAATTCACATTTGTACAGGTATATAAATTTTTTTGCACATTAAGTTACTAATGAATGCCACATTATTGCCGTTTTTTTCCCCCAAGAATTGTAATTGAGCCAATTTACATGTCAGTTCACAAGTCACGTCACATAGCAGGGGATGATCAATGACAGAGGAATGCTGTTGCCACAGTTCATTTGAAAAGCTTGTGATCTGACTAGAGACTGGAGGACTTGTGGTGACTTGTGACTGACTTGTTACAAGTCTGTTTCCCACACCTCCACCCCCCCCCCCACCCTCCCTCCGATGTTTGTCTTAGCAAGCAAGCGTCACGTCTTCTGTGCGTAGCTGGGCATAAGGGCAAAGACCGCCCTTTGCACAATACAATGCAAGCTTGTGACAATAGCATTTATGGAAATACGGACTCCGTGCACACTTGCCTCCTCAGCGGTTCCCAAGAGGGAGTCGAGGAAGACCACTGGGAGGGACTCTTGGTACCACATGGCACCCGATGCTCACGTCAAGATACATTGGGCATATTAGAAACCCCGCTCTCGTGTTGAATGGACAGGAGAATGGTGTTCCGAATGATGGGAACCAACACGCGTACGGTTTTCCCGAACAGGATTTTCACTTGGGGAGTAGATGAGGAACGCCAAGAACAAAGATGGCGGACTTAGGCCCCTACTGTACCGCAACTTGCGTTTATTTTTTTGTGCATGAAATTTAAAGCACTCATTCGGTGCAGGAGCAGCAATGTTAAAAAAAAAAATTACATGGTCATAGAGTGGGCTTGTGAGCCTTGTCTGTTCCAATTTGTATAGCTGTTCCGGGATTTCAAGTAGTTTTGTAAGATCACCAATTGTCCCTTCTTGTCATTTGGCATTTTTATATGGTGGCAGCCATCTTGAATTTTCGCCCAGCTGCACTCCACACGCACTTGGGCGTTCATAATCGGCAACCCGAAAACACTGTTCGGGGGTCACTAGAGAACGGGGTTGTGAATACGCCCCATGGGTTTGTGAACATTCAAAATTAAATAAGTTGTGCCTACATCGCGCCATATGCTTGTGTACCAGTGCGCACAAGCGATCCGTCCCCCGACTGTTCATGCACGGGATCCTTAATTAGTTGACATTTAGACTGTAAGAGTGAATAGCCTTGATTGTTCAGCATCTGGTGAACGACGAAGAAAGTGACAGGCATGGAATTTGAACCTGTGACCTCCGGGTTTCCGCATCGGTGCTCTACCAACCTGGTCTGAACAGCCCCCTTGTTAACCTTTGTTCATCGAGTGCTAGGATTGTTGGTGGGTTTACTTCAAGTTATGGGTCTAAAAGATATATGTATACTGTCTATGTTCTTCAACAAATCCATTTTTTTAACCTAAACATTTTTGATCTATGAAGGTTTTATATTTAAACCCACCCCCAAAAAAAAATTTAAAAAAAATTCTAACCCCTTAAAAGATGCTTTTTATTTGACTTGTTTTTGTGCACAAACAGATCCATCTGCGAGTAGACTGGTTCCCGTCCTCCCCTTATCGATTCTAAAAGGAGGCAGGGACCAGTTTACCATGCGACTATCATCAGGTCACAATAATTCAACAATTTGTAACAAAATTATTTTATCTAAATGTGAGCCGATTTTTTTTTTTTTTGAATAGACGTCCGATGTGAAAGTAAATAATGTTTGTATTGTATTGCTACAAAAAATAGCAATTTAAAAACGAAATTGGGTTTTCGGCATGAAACTACACAATACAAGTGGCACAGGCAGAACATCTTGAAATACAGCAAATCAATGACCAGTGCACTTTTTACAATAAAAAAAATCTGAAGTAAAGTTCTGTCGTTTTGACATATGAAGGACCAGACAAACGATTCTGACAAGGGTTAAGGATGATTTAACTTAATTTTTGAATTTTGGATTCCCATTTTTTTGGTCGAGTTTAATAAATCCTAGGTAAAGCCCTAGTGTGCAGGGCCAGAGTGTCCAGAATCATTTGACTTCTCACGGTAGCAACACACAATTTTCAAATTGCGCTGTTAATGTGGAACATCCATACATTAAGGAACTGCTTATATGAATAGCTTTCAGTGGACCGCACACTGTACTTTTTTTTTTATTTTACTGCGGATAAATCCTGGGGTGAAGTTGCCATCAACATACAGAATGCAGCCAGGAATGGTACAATTCATGGATTGAGAGCTAAAAGCCTTTATACAGCAAATTTCTGGCAAAGGCTCTTGACTCAAATATTAAGTCTTAAGAAAGATTGAATTGGGACAACTTTCAGACTAATACAATTATTAAACTATATTTTCTTGGACAATTTACTTAGGTTTGGATATATTTGTGTGTGGAAGGGGGTGCTTAGTTTGACAATTTAATTTAACCAAATTTTTAAAATAACAACCTTTTGTCCAAATTTTTCAGTTGCGATCTTACAGCTTTGAGACAACATATTCTACATTCATATCATGTGGTGACAGAACTGACAATCGTGCTGAAAAGAAAAAATCAATCATTCAATTATCCGAGAGTATCCCAACACAAACCCTACTCACGAACTGGCCTTCCAAACTTGGGCGTCTTCTCATTAGGGTAGAATGCAAACTTAAACAGGCAGTAACTCGAGGTTTACCTCGAGGTTTTACTCGAGGTTTAAGAGGGTATTGTGGGTTACCTCGGGGTAAAACCTCTAGGTTTACCTCGAGGCTTTCCTCAAAGTTTTACCAGGCTTAACCCTAACAGAACTCAACCCATCAAACCCAAACGGCATGTTTTGTTGGAATCTGTCAGGATGGGTACAGTACCCCTTTTACACTGGGTTGGCACACCTCCAGAATCAAAGTCAGAAATATGTGTGTGCAGTTTCCCATATGGTGTTGGAATTTACCAGGATGGATATGGTTCCTAGTAAATCATGCTAGGGAGTTAGGAAATTAGGGTTAAAAGGGTTTTGTGGGGTACCTCAGGGTAAAACCTTGATGTTTTCCTTGAGGTTTTACCAGGCTGAACAGGGTTCTGTGGGTTACCTCAGGGTAACACCTCAAGGTTTTATGAGGTTTAACAGGGTTTTATGAGGTTTAACAGGGTTTTGTGGGTTACGTCAGGGTTAAACCTTGAGGTTTACCTCAATGTTTTACCACGTTCAACAGGGTTTTGTGGGGTACCTCAGGGTAAAACCTGGAGTTACCCCTTGCTTAATTTTGCATTCTTCCCTTAAACATCTGGGATAACTTTTGAACAATTTATCCGCAATGGTAGAATTTTTACCGAAATGAAGTTATCGGCATCCAAATAATGCCAATAACTTCATTGCAAGGAGAATTTTGCAATTCATACCCGAAACAGTTGGCCTGTTGCGGTTAAACCTGTCGGCAAATCATCCAGGATATTTTAATGACTCTGTTACTGTTTGCATATCTATCTGATGGTGGTTTTTGTTGCCTGCTGAATTTCCTCTCACGTCCTGAAGTTTTGTTGTCTCATGGGTCATCCGTCTGTCTACCAGGCTTCAGTGCCTGGTTCTTCCTCCCTTGATGCTTTGTCGACAAAACTGTCTCTGTATTAAACTTGAAGTACCTACATGTGTGTCTAGCTGCTTCATACAACCGTCCCGCCCGTCGCTGAATGTACAACTCCCTGAGAGTTGAAACAAAAAAAATCAACAGAGTGTTTCATAACATATAAATCACTAAATGTAGATGGCCGTATGTTTCAATCCTTTGTAGGATGTTTCTCAGAGGCAAAATGATAGTGGTACAGAAACAACCAAGTAGGGGTTCCCTACTTGTTCGTTTCTGTCCCCTACTTGTTCATTTCTGTACCACTGTCATTGAAACGTTAGGCCATCTAATTTTGTTGGTTTACACATTTCAGGTGAATTAGGTCAGTATTAAACAGTTTGCAGTAGTTTTATTCATTTTCATGTTTCATAACATATTAGAATCTACAGAATCCTGGAGGTTAAGGGTTCAAGGATCTTGGAGGGTAATGGTTCAAGGATCTGGCAGGGTCATGTACAGTTACTGATACTCACCACTTTCCCCGGCCGTGCCCACGTACTAACAAAGCCCTCTTGGCAGGCTGTGACTATACAGTCCTCCCTGAAGACCAAGGCAGTCAGTCGCTCCTGGGCAATCTTCTTGGCCACTAGGGGCTCCAGCATCAAGACCTCGTCCAGCCGTGGGCAGGCCTGGCTGCCCACGCGGTAGCTCTCCTCCGCTAGTAATCGCAGGTGCATCTTGCTGCCGTGGGAGTGGACGCTGCTCTTGCTGCTCACACTGTCCTTCTTGTGTTTGTCCTTGTGTTTGTCCGACAGCGACAGGTTGGAGAACTTGCTGCTGATGCTGCCGGTCTCTGTATGGTGCCCTGTGGCATTTCCGATGGATTTATGAGAGGCGATGTTGTTAGACTGTGACATGGACGTCTGTCCCACCGACAGCGCGGTGTTGGTCCGTACCCGTATCGGAGGCTGGAACATGCGTAGGGTGTCCTCCGTAAACTCCCATAGACAGAGGTGGGTGTCCTGCCCAACGGATCCGAAGCGGTACGACACCTGCGGGACACTGTTCTCCCCGCTGATGATAGAAGTTCTTGAGTGGGTGCTGTATGTCCGCTCCCGGCTGTTCATCCCACTGAAGTCATCGTCGCTGCCGTACAACGCTGCTTCGTTTTGCAGCACGGCGGTGGTGAAGGGGTCAAAGTTTACCACACTGATCCACGAGCCGTGGCCATGACCGCGGGCCACCACTTTCTTTTCATGAAACGACCACACTGTCACTAGATCATCCTCACCGCCAACCACGATATACTTATCATCGGGGCTCCAACACACACACGATAGTCCCCCGAAGTAGCTCTTCATACTGCCATGCAGGTCCATGGTGTCATAATCAAAGACTCTTAGGAATCCGTCCTGCGACACGCAAGCAATGTACCTGGCATCTGACGAGAAGGCAAACTCGTTGAGGGCGCCCTCCCCCAGAACCCACCTAAAGACGGGGTTGCGCGTGGACTTGCTCTTGCAGGTGTGGACTTGGTAGCCGTCTCCTTGCTTGAGGAGCTGGTAATGGGGTGGTGTGTTCACAGGGGGAAGCCCTTCGTTGTACAGGTACATCTGGCCACTGGAGTGGGCCGCTAGGAACATGTGCTCCGTTCCTGGTACCCAGGACAAGCAGGTAACCTTTGTCTTGTCGATAAGCCTCTGCATTGCCAATTACAAATAGACAGAAATTCGAAATTATTGTTTGCCTTTAGTAAGGCCAAAAAAAAAAATATTCGGTCTCTGGTCAGACCAAAGTTCCGGAATTGACGCGGCCACGCGGCTTTTTTGTTTTTGTTTTGCTTTTTTTTTTTTTCTCCAAGCTTGGATTGTACAGACAAGGTGGGTACTATTTTGTATTTTTGGTGTCCTCATGTACATTGGTGTCCTCCATAATTTGCCTTGGTGCTTTCAATCATTTGCCTTGGTGCAATTTCCCATTCCTTGGTGCTCTTTGGTAAAAAAAATTTGAGGAGGTGCGGAAATAGGGGGCGCTGTTGGAGCTACCGCGGAACATTTTGGAAAAAAAAAAGATCGACGCGCATGATTTAAATCGACGCGCGCGCTGACCAGAGACCGACATATTTTTTTTTTTGGCCTAAATCTCATGACTATATGCCCAGTCGCCAATAGACCTGAGACATAAAACCGTCACACTCTTCAATGGGAGCTTAGTGGCTCTCATCCCCATGGCTCCCATGGGAAAGCACACATGTAAACAAACTGTGACGTCATAATGTCTCAAGTCTATACTAATCCAGACTGTAACCCTTTCAGTACATCTCCAGATCTCACAGTCAATACATTGAGAGTTGTATCAAAATTAACTACGATATCCAGCTGAGGGACCTGAAGATGCACTAGGAAATCCCAGACAGGGGATTGAAGGGTAAGGAGATGGGCAATCTTACATACACAGGCACACACATAGTCATGTTTTACTATACTCTCGAGGACAATGCTTTGTGTTTCCCTTTGTCCCTGTAAAATAACACTCTCCCACAGACTATGCACACAGACTTACTACAGAGGACCGTTTCCAACAAAAGACCCGACTCCCGAGGACTGAAAGGATCTGTTGTTCTCCCTTTGTGTGTCGGTCCTCGGGGGTTATGTAGAACATGTACACCAGAACATGTGCATGAACTACTGTGTGCACAATAGACCGATCCGTTAAGCCCCGCCCACTGCGCACATGAGGCAACAACATGTGCGCCTCTTCAATGCCACACTGCATGTCATGCGCGTATGCACACGTTGGGCGGAGCTTGATGGATCTGTGTATTGTGTTCTTCAACAGTATTTCCCCCAGTGCCATCTACATCCACAGATGTCAATTGCAAAATATTGTCACTGGTGAAGTGACTTTATTAACCTTTTGCAACTCTCAGAAACATGAAGCTTTCACCACCAGGGCACCTTCAAATCCCCCAAACACTCTTACCCCCGCCCCGACCAACCTACCTCCTCATTGTAAATCTTACTGATGTCCTTGCGTATAGGATCTATCAGCTGCACCTGGCCAGCCGAGAAGCCAACCAATAAGGAGATGCTCTGAGCGCTGGCTGTGAACTGATTGATTGCATGGCAGGTGGGCAAGGTGCCACCTTTGTAGGTCCTCTTATCCAGGGGTTTGGTCAAATCGGCAGCCTGTATGGAAAGGCAAGAAATAACAAGGATGATGGTTGATGGCATGGTACCAGTATTTGGGCAAGGTGCCACCTTTGTACAGGTATACATGTAGGTGGGCAAGGTGCCACCTTTGTGGGTCTTCTTATTCAAGGGTTTGGTCAAATCGGCAGCCTGTATGGAAAGTCAAGTAATGAAAAGGATGATTAATGGCATGGTACATGTACATATAGGTGGACAAGGTGCCTCCATGCTCACCTTGTCCTCCCCCCCCCCTCCCCACCCCCCTCCTCTCCCCTGAATTAAGCCCTCGGACAGCACTAACAGTGTTTATTAAAAACTTGGACTGAAGAGCAAAGTCCACTATTAAAATACATGATGATGGTTTCACAAAGGACTTGATGTGCATTTTTACAGTGGAGAATCCAGGATTTTCAGAAGGGGGTAGATTTGTAATCAAGTCGGTAATTGATCGGGTGTAGTTCGCCGCACCTGCATGGACAGATACAGCATACCATCCAGGGTATACATGTAGCGTGCGGTATGGCACTTACATGCGGGGACGGTTCGTGCATCCTCGTCCCCAATATGCGTGTACTATATAAATTACCAACTTGAATAATCTGCTCTCGGCTACACATGTACACCATGTATGGCAATCGCTACCAGATGTAGATGAAGCGGTCTGATTGATTAATAATCAGGAGAATATGAATATTCATATTACACCATACAGTTTATGCCTATTTGCACATGCACGCTACATGTTATGTGTGTGATTAATAAAATACAACGTGGAGCAAATCCCATTCCTCAAGACAATAATTTGGCATATTATATGGTCTTATACATTATAATTCCACTGAGTTTTATAATATTCTAATGAAAATCTAACAAAAAAGGGAGAATGTACACTGATCAAGAGAAAGATATCCCCACTCAAATAATGGATGCTTCCTCAGTGGCACATGCGAGCTAGCATTGGCCCTCTATGGAAACGAACTGCATGCTTTTAGGGCGCATAAATGAATATCAGTCCGAAATCATATTAGTCAAGTCATTAGACATGTTGAGGCCAGCCAATGATAATAAACGTGACACACAGCGCTGTGCTAGTAAACACTGGGGGTGCCGACAGACAAAACAAGACTGTGAAGGGACTTGTCCTCAAGTCTACCGAGAGGGTGGCTAGGGTGTTGAAGTCCAAGATTCTTGGAGTGGGGTGTTGAGGGAAGGGGATGAGCTGTTAACGTTGCAACGGCCTCAAGCAATGAATCATATGCAATATGGAGCAATGACAACATGAGGAGACTGAAGGAAATTAGGATTTTTTTTGCATTAATCAACATTGGTCATGGGAGGGGGGCTGAGCTAGGGATTTTAAGACAATTTCATTTACAAAAAAAAAAAACCTTTTTGGGCATGATCTATGTGTACATTACCTCTAAATACAATGTAATGCTAAAAGACCACAACAGGACACACCCCCCCCCAAAAAAAAAAGTCCACAGGCAGCACTGAAACTTGTACACATTTTTCTCTGTTTTCAACAGATGAAAGCTGTTACAAATTTACAGTTATCTCACATAATAGCTCATATCAAGGGAAGAAATTAAATTTTTTGCACACCGTTCCAAAAAATAATATTGCAGTTCACTCGTACGCTAGTCTGAGGATCAGACGTTCACGTGCGGAGAGCCACACTCTGAACATCTGATATCTGTGCATGTAAAATGTATACGACCCAGAGCGCCAACCAATCAGAGCCGCCTTTAGAAGTTGTGACGTATTTAGAGAAGAAAGTCGGCCAAAGCTGTTGATTGGTCAATAGCTGCCATGATTTGGGTCATAGGAAGACACGTGGCCAGAATCTGGAGGTCACGATGCAGTGTTGTTTTGCATGATCTGCATGCATACCATAGTCGCTTGCCATGCACATTACTATAAAACGTGAATTTACATAGAAGTATACAGACTAAGGCCGCCCTCAGGTCGACCTTTGGACGACACAGAACAGTCGGCAACTGACTTTTTAGGATCAAGCTGCGTCTGAGCCACAACCATTGGGAACATATCAGTCGCAGATTTTTTTTTTCGACCTGAGTGTAACTGCAACAATCTTAAGACGATCGGCACCAGTGGGCACTGGTTACAGTAAACACATGCAAATGCAATGGAATTTGTGTCTGTACATGTGCATACATACATGTATAAATCTTTTTTCTCTCTGTTTTTCTCTTTTTTTGGGGGGGGGGTTTATTGTTGTTGATGTTTGGGTTTTTTGCTTTGCTTGTAAAAATGTAGATTACCTAAAGTCTGACGTCAGCTGTCTTTGTTGTGGCTCACGCGCTGGTACACGTGCTGATGCCTTCACACACTTAAGCTACATGTTTACATGTGCGTGAACCAGAATACGCGGCACACTCTATACCGGTATATATTACAGGTGTATGTGTACATGTAGACAAGGCTTGAATTATCCACTGGACTGCTAGACCGAGTCGACTGGTTTAAGCGTCGGTCTAGTGCTTTCTATATGTCTTATCTACTGTACATCAATGGTTTAATGTTTTCCACTCTCCTAATACTGCATGCATGTGCATGTTGGATGAAATTTAACCATTTTCAATAAAAGAGAATGTTCTTGTACAGTACTTCAACCTTTCCAAACACACACCTTTCTCCATTTAAAACTTGTCGGGTGCCCGACAGAAGGGCATATGAGCATTCTGTGGTGACAAATCACTACAAGAAAATTGCATTGAAAGGCTCCAATATCCCCCCACGCGTATTATGAATCCAATGTTCACCCACGCTCGAAGTTTTAATTTGTCACACGTACATGTATGAATCATAATTTTGGAACAACTTGGAGTCAGGTTGGCGTAGCGGTACTTTCCTCGCCTTCCACCGCTGTGACCCGGGTTCGAATCCCGCCTGGGCCAATATGTGGATTGGGTTTTCAGTCCCTGCCTGATTCCGTGGGTTTTCCCCAGAATATTCTTCTGGCCTTTTCCTCCCACCTCTAAAACTGTAACTTCTTCTCATTGTCTTCTCTCCACAGGTTTCTTCAGGCTTGCGAGCTACAGTGCCTAGGGCGCTTTTGAGGAATCCTTGGTTTCATTACCAGAAATGATTAATAATAATAATAATAATAATAATATTCATTTCCAATGAAAATGTTTAAATTTCATTAAAATAGAGGCAGTATTCTTTGGCTGGAAAGATTTTGGTGATAACGCGTTTGCGCGTAGGGGCGTAAGCGCATACATCCTTCTGCCAGGCATACGACGAACTGTGAATGTGGCATGTGCCCTGGTAAAAATGCTTCTAGTCTGCTGTCATTTTTTTTTTCGTACCCTGTTAGATAAATTCATGAGCATCTGTGTATGTATGGACATGTTTGTGCATGGACATAACTGTAGAATTGCTCATGCATTGTTTAGAAAGTATAGTATGGATGAAGACCGCACAATAGATAACATGAAACAGAGACAAGATAGCCAACCACATCCCCCCCCCCCCCCCCAATATTACAGACATTAAGTGACTGAGAGCTGAGACAGATTATGTGATATCTTGGGTCCCATGGGGTCAGGTGACTGATAAGAAGGCTTATCGACCAGGGAATTACTTGGTTGATAGCACTAAGACATGAATATTAAAGATGTCTTGTCTGTGCTATTTTCACCTCAAAAACATATTTTTATTACTTGCTATTTTTAAAGCAATGCAAAAGTGTTCCACTTTTGACTGTATCGAGCAACACAAACAAAATCAGCCTGTGTTTGGTTATGGAAAAATAAAGTAAGAGCTTTTGAATTATTTGCAGTCTGGTTCCCAACCCCTAACTGAATGGATAATGCAATGACTGGGAACCAGTCAACTCCACAATAAAAAAAAGCCTGTTGGCAGGGGGTTGCAGGCACCCAAAATAGAAAACAAGTATTTTTTTTGTTAAAATAAAACATTCAGTTTGAAACCTCATCAGGTGAAGAAGCACAGATTGTACATCATCTCGTAATAAAGAGCTTCCATTATCAAGGAAAATCACTCAACTGTCAAAACTACATGTACATGTAACTGTCATTATTGATAAATGTGGGCTTATTTCTCTCGAATAGGGGTGTGCATCGGAACCGGGTACCCGAGTACCCGACTGCTGATGTCGGTAACCGGTTCCAGGTTATGGAATCGAGTACCCTCACCCAATTTTGCAAATTACTTAGCAACTTCTAAGACACTGTAAAAGGAATATTTTAAATGCCATTTGTTGGGAATTTTCAAAATGAAAACCAGGCTACATGTACATTGTACATGGAAAACCGAAAGCAATACAGATTTCACGTTTATGTGCATTTTAAGGCATGACAGATGACGCTCGTGAAAGTTGCAGTTTAACCCGCAAACCTGCCAGTATGAAGTCCTTGAACTTAGGGGTTGGCTTTCTTTTACAGGTACCCAGGTATCCGTGTTTCACTTCACACAACTACTCTCAAAAGTGCTCCTTTAACCATAGCATAGACCTGGAGATCACATTGCATGAGCAAGACGTTTTCATTTTAATGCAAAGTGTGTGGATTCCATAGAGCTATATTAAATTACCAGAGCGCTAACTCCTCATTCTTAAGTGCGGAGATAATTTGAAGCCGTCCTGGGCGCAGACATTTTGAATTCATGTGCATGCTTGTAGAACATAATGCAAGTAAATGGATAAGATTTGAGGATTTGCATGGTGGAGACACTAAATAATGAAAGGTTTGCGGAAACACCATGTGCGAATAATTTCTCAACTAAGAGAATGGTTCTGAAAAGAACCAGAGGCATAAACTCGACGTTCCGGTCAGTATGCTCTGACCGTCTGACCGCTCTGACTCTCCTGAAGACGGTCAGAGCATACTGACCAGAACGTCGAGTTTATACCTCTGGTTCTTTTCAGCACCATTCTCTTAAATGAGAAATTATTTGCACATGGTGTTTCCGCAAACCTTTCATTATCAAGTAGATGGAGTGAATTTTGAAAGTGTACTCTAAATGCAACGTGCATACAATGTACGCAAACAACTTAAGCGTGTCATGACGGTTAAAAAATGTCACGGCAAAATCATCTGCACACATTTGCGTTGTTTGCGCAGAGCAAAACGAAACGCTCATTTACTGATTGTGCATTTCAGGTTTTGGGTTTATCAGCTTCGATGACGCACCTGTATAGAATACAAACCCAGATGCAAATAGCCATACAGAAGCTGTACAAAATATTGAGTTTTCCATAGGGTTTCTGCAACATAGATGCGCCCAGCAGGCATCACTTTGTACATAGAGTCAGCGTTCTCGTATAATTTAATATCTGCTCTATGGTGGATTCGCATCAAAGAGCACACGAAATATACATCATTGACACTGAATGGAAACTCCATCCTCACATTCATGTCATCAAATGCAATGCCACACTTCAATTGAATCAGCTAGCAAAAAAAATGGCTCTCGGAAGTCAATTTGGCAAGCTAGACTGAAGGAAAAACCTTAAACCCCAACTTCTTTGGTAATTTTGCTTGAAACCTGTTCTGAATTATTTAATAAAAACAAAACAACCACTTAACCATATCCCATCTCACTGGTACCCCACTCAAATGAACATTGAGGTTGTGATGATTTCATTACATTTTCCACTTTTCAAGCATGTCCACTTTCTCACGGAATTGCCCTAAAGGTTATTTATTATTATTAGAATGTTTATTTTATATGCACATGAACTCTGTATTACCCTATCTTCGGGTTATCGCCAGTACCTGCACGTGTTAATATACTGGCACATTGTACGCACATGAATACTCAAGTTTGAGTGACCCATCATAGTACATGTGCACACATGCGTGAGATGAAAGCAAATATATACGGTAGTATGTAAATGAAACTTTTTTCGATGTAAAAGTCTGTAATTGTTATGTTACATGCACACACATGTACCATTAATTAATAAACATACTCTTTAGATGCCGGGTGTCATTCAGCATGCTGCATTTTTGTTCAGACATGTACAAATGTGGTTTGAACCTCAAATATTAAATTTAATGTGAAACCTGAGAATCCAAGAAACAATGTAAGCTTCAAGAACAACCCCCCCCCACCCCAACCCCCCCCCCCCCCATTATTTAGATTCTTTCAAAATTCAACGACTGCTTTTGCATGAACTTGATGAGTAAGATTTAAGGCTTTGCATGGTGGAGATACTAAATAATGAAAGGTTTGCGGAAACACCATGTGCGAACAGTTTCTCAACTAAGAGAATGGTTCTGAAAAGAACCAGAGGTATAAACTCGACGTTCCGGTCAGTATGCTCTGACCGTCTTCAGTATGCTCTGACCGTCTTCAGGAAGAATTCTCCTGAAGACGGTCAGAGCATACTGACCGGAACGTCTGTATACCTCTGGTTCTTTTCAGAACCATTCTCTTAGTTGAGAAACTATTCGCACATGGTGTTTCCGCAAACCTTTCATTACTTATGAACTTGATGGATTAGTTGTAAAACCCAAACACCGTGACCATTTTGGCCACATCAGTAGGTAAACATTTCACATCTATGGGCTTGGTACTCTGATATACGACTGGGTCACTGCACAATGAGGATTTTGATAAAGAGTTACCCTAACCGCTGTGTGTTTCCTCCTCCCTGACCTTACAGGCTTACCCTCCTGCATGCAAACCCATTTTCCCCCCAGTTGCACAAGTGAAAATTCCCTCCTTCAAGACAGCTCTTTCTAATAATAAAGCCTTAAAAAAAAAAAATTAACCCTAAAAATTAGTCGACCACTCCAACTGCACCTCCAGTTAAAACTTCTTCACGGAGTAATAAATCCAATAGCCAAGATCCAAGAATGATCATCAAAACGCTGACCAAAGTAAAACCCTGAATCTGACATGAAGGCATTGGAGGTGGGAGATTCACCATTCATGTTCAATGTCAATTGTCTGCTTGGAAACTATGTAGTGTCCCGCACAACATTAGTGGTTGATTGTGAACAAAGTCCCAAAAAAAAAAATCTTAGTATTTTTAAAACAAAATTGGTTTTTGTTACGGCAGCTGTAACGCAATGTTCAACCGCTATCGTTATGGCATTGCAAAAACATCATTGCAAATCTGTATAAACCGTCTGGTTCCCTGACCTAATAGTATTCAAGGTCAAAATCTTTGGCTGTTGGAACCAGACTATCAACTGAATGGTTCTCGGACTCAGATAAATGCACACCAGACTATGGGGACGTGGTAACCAAATCTGCATTCAGGGTAATTTTTCGTGCAATTGAAAAGAGATGGAAACTTTTGTTTGCACAAAAGTTTGCACAAAAGTTTGGACAGACAAGACACCTAAAAACACTTCGCTGTCCAAATGTTTTTTGCAAAATGTTACTTCAGAACATGACCATCTGTTCAATTTCGCTGGGACCCTGCTAATGCTATGCCTTTGCATGCATACCATGAGATGCTTTTATCCTGAAAGAAAAGGCCATCAGGTAGTTACGGGCCCGGTTCCCTACAAGAGAACAAACTCCACTTTTAATCTAGATAGTGGATATTTTGCCGGCGGTAATCCCGGCAAGCCAACGTTTACTAAAGGTTTGCTGGCGGCAATCCGTATCAACAGAGGGCACTGTACTCTCTAAGATAGGGCTGAATTATAAGATATATTAAATTACCACCAACGATTGTGTAGCAACTGTGGCCTACATGTAGTGGATAAGCAACGGATCTCATGAGCGGGAAGACCCGGCTTCGATCCCAATCCCCGCTGGCGACATTTCTCAGGTTTTCTTTCTTCATCCCCCAAAAATAAGAATATTATTCTTTTATTATTTTAACATGTCTCAAACATTTTATTGCAGAGTATTACATTTTCTTTTTCAGATTTGTGGCTCTGGAGAAAAAAAGTCTGAAATTGTAAAATGGTCGTTTCCCATCTTGTGAATACGAAGTTACAACGATAATGTTGGCATGGAGCCAGACTAAAATTTGTCACCTGAAAATGTCTAAGTACAAAAAAAACCAGTAACTGCGCATGTTCAGTGCATATCTGGCAAGCTAACGTTTACTAAAGGTTTGCCGTTTCCGGCTAAATATCCATTGCCTTTAATCTATTTGACTTACCAAACTAGTTGGTGACATTAAGAACATGCATAGATAGAGGGCAGGGTTTTGAATTTGAGGGAAATTTGGGGGTTAAAGTGATGATGGCGACAAACATGACAAAAAGTAACATGAAAATAGAGATGGCATCACCGCGATGTACCGTGAACGCGCAAGGTGCACTGAATACCATAACACCAACCATAAACCGTGTACGATAATTGTAATTTCTACCCCAATTTGATAAGCGCATAATTTGATCGAAACTAAAGAGGGGCCTGTAAAAACAGGATCACTGAAAAATTGTCAAATCTTGATCATTTGATGTGCACATTCGCAGTTGGAATAGGCCCTACCGAATTGGCTTTTGGTCCCCTCTTTTTTTCTAAGGAATAATGACACCCAAAATATTAATGGGCTAGAGCCAACGACCAAACAGCTCAGTTAAAAGCACACAGAAGCCGCAAGCAATGCAATGGGCATGACGGGGGTATTCGCAACTCACCTTCCGTACACCTTTGTACGGGTAAAAATAAAGTTCCCGGCCCACATTGAAACAGATTTTGTCATTGCACCCTGATCCATCCTCCACACTCGTGAATGACACTCGAACTGGGTGGCAGCACTGGACATTATATGGAGCTCTAGACGGCCAGGAATATTCAGACAAAGTCATCAATTTATACGTGCCCTCCCGAGTCCCAAACTGGGTCTTGACTTCGTCCCTTCCACCCCCTTCCGAAGCCGCCATTTTGGGAGAGTCACAAATTTCCCGGATGTGTGTCCAACGATCGGCGCAGCGGCGACCGAGATCTGCTCCATAAAATGCCGCTATTACACCGCCATCTGACGATCAGAATGCCAACTGAAGATGGCACGGCCAAGAACAATCATCCTAGACGTGGTAAACGTTCAAGTTTGAGCGTAAATGATCGACAATTAACACTTTTTGGTATGATGATTCTTGTTCGCTTGCCATATCCATCGAGAAAAGCTTGCTGGGCGGTGACCTCCGTACGATAGTGACCTTTGAACCACGTGCTAAAACCAGGAAGTGGATGCGTAATGCGGAATGGATCGCCAGCGAATAAATCGATTGCGCACTAAATGCCCGCCAACTTCAATACGTGCGTGCACGTCATAGAGCTATATTATACAGCTCTATGGTGCACGTACGTGACGTACGCGTGTACCCGGTACCCGCACCCGGCCGGAGCGATCCCCCCCACGTCTTTTGCCTCATACTCGACCCAGCGCAAATGTAAGTTTTTTTTTAAAGATGGATCATTGAAGAACAAGTCGTCGGTCGTGCGTGGGCCTCGCTCGTGGCATCTACATTTGTATATATATACATGATCTACATGCACAGTAGATCATGTAGATACTGGGTGCCTTTCTGCTGTTAGGCCTATGTTATAACTTAGTTTTGATGTTTGGTTTGAGCCCTTTTTTTTATCCAATGGCTGCCAATGAGTTGAATGACATCACTTTGCGAGGTTGGCATGGTTGGCCTATTTTTTTTTGGGGGGGGGGGGGGGGAGGGTAGGTCATGTAGGTAGGGTAACCGGAGCAAAACTATTATTTTTTTGGCCTTTAAATGCAGAGTAACCCTATCTTTTGGTACCATAGTTCTAGGTTATAGGGGGTAATCTTTTGGTAGAAAATGTGATTTTCTGACAAATTTGTAAGTTGATGCCATGCCGTGCGTTGCATATCCTCTTTGCCACGTTTGTTTTCTTATGTTTTGTCATCATCATCTTTTTACCAACGTTTTACTAAACTAACAGTTGGGTGAGACTACTAAAAAAAACATACGTCGGGCCAGCTCTATAGACTATAGCGTATGCCTCATCAGTGTGGGACACTCACACTAAAGACCTGGTGTTCAATCAGACTACCTACCATCCAAGACACAGCGTGACTAAGATGCTCACTGACCTCCTGGCAAACTCTGTGTGAACGTCATGCCCACAACAAGGTCATTATGCTTTAAATACAGAATCGTCCATGGACTTGTTGTAGCCATCCCATGCCTCCATCATATCTTTTCCTAGTCCGAAAATTTGGGACTCTCAATACTGTGTATGAGAGTCCCAAAACTTAAGGTATTAAAAACATGCAAAACAAGAAAATAGACTGGCACCTAAAACAACCAGTCCAACACAGCTTCAGCACTGCATCAATCAATCATACCAAAAGAATTGAAGAAACATGTGGCATGAAGCGGGAACTAGTCTCAATTTACTTCACACTTCTCCATAGTCAAGCCACCAGACTATTGACACTGAATGAAGAGTTTAGTCTAAAGTACAAATAGTTGGACCATGGTTGGACATGTACCAGTCTAGTATTTAGCCCCATTTTGAAATCACTTGACTTCCCTCTCATGTGCAAAATATTGAAGAAAAGTCTCCTTTAAAAATTGAATTGAGTCTGCAAACTTGGTGAAATACTGAGAACATTTTCTTTGCCCCAGGGGAATTTTTGGAGATATTTGCTGGCTAAACGGTGAGTAAAGTGGGCCTGATTTAGTTTTGCACGTTTCAGAGCACTCCAGAGCCCTGTCTGATCTTCTCCCAACTACCGGTTTCACCAGAGGTCACACTCAGCAGTTCAGACAACAACACTACAATCCAATCATAGCAAAACACCTTCTTCCCAAGCGTCATGCTCGTGAAATGTACTACCAGACTCAGTTGGTCTGCCCATCACTGGAGGTCTTCCGGAGTCCATTGTCTCTACGTAAATTCTGTAATCATCCCCTTTTTACTTGCCTTTCGTCATTACTTTTTTGGCACTCATCTTTTTGGGAATTTGTGTCCCCACATCGCACTCTTTGCACCGTATCCAGTATGATAATCCTCAGGAGCTATTTAATTCCTGAGAGGGATATACTTTATAGAAGAAGAACATGAAGAAGAAGAAGAACAAGAAGAAGAGCTATTGAAAATGGTTTTTCATTCTTTTACAGGAACAGAGCTCGTAACTACATTCTGTCCTGCTTGAGAAGAATTCCATTCATGGACATCACTATTTTTTTCCCTGCAGTGACCTATCAGTCATCAGAAAGCGATAACATGTCCTAAAAAGTCAAACTTAGCAGGGAAAATACTAGCATTTACTGAGAAAACCTTTTGAATTTTTTAGACCAGTCTCACAGGGTTTGTTTGAAGGGTGTCAATTAAGTGAAGTCCAGGTATGGAACTCTTTCCTCATGGTTTTGGGTGCATCCTGGGTGCAGACATTTGCATGAATGTGTTTGATTAAGGGAATAAATGTGTACTTGGCCAGTATTAAACACTCTGTTTAAGACCAGTTGGAGTCTGGATGCTGCGAGGGTAATTATCAGCATCCAGACTCCAACTTGTCTTAAACAAAGTGTTTGATACCGGCCAAGTATATATTTATACCCATTCATGAATACCTTTTCGGTCAAACTATAATCAAGACTTTTTGGTCCAAAAGTCAAAACAAGTAAAAAATTTAAATTTCCAACAATTTTGTTCCACAAGTCTTCGGGTCAGGGAACAAGAACAATGGTTTCTTTTTATATTTTTTGGCATCCATGAACACACGACTTTAAACAGAGCAGTGGAATGATACTCGTATTTGCTATAAAATACTAACCCCAACATACATCCGTTTCTGAAATTACAGCAAATGCATGTTGATAAAAGCTATAACTAATTGATTCTGATATAATTTTATTGATTCTAAGGCGCAAACTGGGACGTTGAATGCCAGAAAACAGGACACGTAGACACCACATCGTACATGTAGTAACAACCAAACAATGCCAGAGACTTCAGTGATCCAGAGAAGTTCCGAGTGGTTTGAGTTGAGGCAACACATGCAGCTGACTGCTTCCAAGTTTGGAGACGCAATCGGTGTGGGACAGGGACGACCCTATGATTTCTTCTTATCGCTGCTCTCAGACGATGCCTGCTCTCGGGTAAGTGGTAAAAAGAGTGGAAATGGCTGTATGAATGACAGATTAACTTCTTTTAACCCTAACTGCCCTGAATCCTTCAAAATCCTCTTTGCCAAAGTGGAGGAATTTGGAGGACTGAGGTCACATGGCAAAAGTACATTACTGATTTCGGAGGATGTACTTTGTCAAGGTCTTGGGCCAGATCTTGTGTTGTTTTTGCTCGGCCATGCATAAATATAGGCCTGAAATATAGGCCTGGATTATGCTTGAAATCCTCCGTACTGCTCCAGGATGTCACTGGCCAAGCCTCAACATATTGACAGTCACTGCTGCAGGATTCAGGCAATGATCCCCCTCCACAGACCACATTCAAGAAATAATAGAGGAATTTGCAGGATTGAGGCTATATACTATTTTTCCATGAGGCCAATTGGAGGATTTTGCATGATTGAGGCTACATCCTAGCAAAAAGGCCTGGAGTTAGGGTTAGCCCTAACCTTCCCAATCCTCTGAGATCCACTTTGCAAAATGGAGGATGTTGCAGGATTGAGATCTATCCCTAACAGTCCTGAATCCTCCAATTTCAATATGATTTTGCACACCCCCTAGGGAGTTAGGTTTTTATGGCAAAAATGTGTGGCTGATTTTGGAGGATGCGCTTTTTCAAGGTCTTAAACCGGACCTTGTGTTGTTTATGCTCAGCCGTGCATAAATTTAGGCCTAGATTATACTTGAAGCCTCATACTGACAGTGTTTGCTGAAAGATTTTGCAGGATTGAGGCAGTATGCAATTTTTACATGGAGACAGTTGGAGGATTTAGCAGGATTGAGGTTGCATGCTAGCAAAAATGCCTGGGGAGTTAGGGTTAATTGTTGATCAACTCCATTTTGAATAACTTAATAGTAAAACAAGGCACAGCTCAAGCAGCGGTGTAAGCCTGATGTCTTTTGTCCCAATCCTGCTACAGGAGAATGAAGAGAGCGAGCACACAAGGCACGGCACGCAAATGGAGCCCATCATAGACGAGGCCTATCAGCTCTTGACTGGAAACACGACACATGCGGCTGGCTTTTGGCAGCCACCAGAGGGCAGCATACTGCATGGCCTGTGCGGAGCAACACCTGATGGCAAAGTATGTGTAATTCATGGAAGGAACATGAAGACAAATCCCAGCATGTGATCTTTGTACACACACACGGCTCCTTCAGTTGTGAATGCATTGCAAATTATTGTGCAATTCGGGCGATTCACAATGCAGTGCGCCACCAAAAGTTTGCCATGGAGAGTCAACTTTTCAAGTTTACGGTCGACAAAATATGGCCCATTTGAATGAGTGTCAGTAGACACTTGAGCTAATTTGTTATAGATTGGGGCATAGCGTTCTGCGGCATTACCAAAAATCACCATATTGATACAAAGAAAAGAAAAGGGCAAACATATACTTGAATCATACGCTTACGAAACTACTGACCGGAAAAAACGAACAATTTCAAATGTCCCGCGCTGCGAATTTGTCGACCATCTCCCACAATGCACTGGGAAAAATGAACTCTCCGTGGCAAACTATTGGTGGCGGTCTGCATTGTGAATCGCCCGAATTGAAGCTACTGCCCCGTGACGGATTATCCGAAGAAACAAAAAGCTAGCACACTGATTTTGCTACTGAATGGAGCCTTCGTGATAGAAATGACAGCATGCCCAGATTGGTCTGTAGCAAAATTTTGTTCGTTAGAGGTGAGGGGGTGGGAGTGGAAAAATCATGAAAATCTCCTGGAAATGGTAGTGTCCATGGTAAAAATGTGTACATTTAAATTTTACGCAAAAAAACTCTAGCCACGTAGTATGGCCCCTCAGCCATGTGAGCTGATAAAACATATTTATTAAAGGTGATTGCTACCTAGTGCAGAAATGAACAGTGTCTTAAAATGGATGTTGGCATTTTTTTTATGCCATCCCATAAATCAGGATTGTTACTTCCAATGACTGTTATTATTTTGTAGTTAACAGCACAGAATATTCATACTTATTCGTAACTTATGAAAAACGCACAGATAGCGAACTTGCGCACTGCATACGCAACTCGTACGCATCTCATACGCAGTGGATGCGCTGAATTCGTTACTTGTTCGCTAGATGTGCGTCGCACACAAGTCAAAGTAATCAAAAAATTTCGACGTTTTTGATCGTACGGCTGCATATTGAACAATTTTGATAAGGAACTCATAAGGAATTGGGATACGCAAAAGTGTGACAGGGGCTTTAAATAGGGTACATAACAACTAACCTGTGAAAGTTTTAGCTCAGATGTGACTACAGTTTGAGAAAACAGACTTTTTGGTTTTTCAGATTTTGTCAACTGATGAGCCAGTGAAGCTCCTGGGACTAGTGGAATACAAAGCTCCTTTCTACCGGATGTATGATCCCTCCAAACATCCACACGGCATACCTAGACACTACATGGCGCAGGTTAGGGCTAATGAGTCATATTCTCCAGTGAACGAGGGGGCTGTTACCAGGGGCGTCAATCGCTTCTCAAAAGTGGGGGGGGGACATACCTTGATCAAAAATAATGCAAGCGCGAAGTGCAAAGCCCTTACACCGTGGGGTTTGGGGCCCGTTTAAGGGCCCGAAAAAATTTGGATTCTAGATGCTCATGTGGTGTGATCTGAGGCAATTTCTGACCACTTTAACCAATATTTTCTAAGCAAAAGATACATTGTAGTACATAATAGGGCCCTGTAAATGAGGCACGAGTTCAAAACTCCCCCCCCCCCAGGATTGACGCCCATGGCTGTTACAACTCCATGTTCTGGGTACATTACAAACAGTTGAAGCAGTTTAGTAACTTTATTTCATTCATAGAAATAAAGATTATAAAAAGGGTGTTTTTTTAATTATAAGCGCCCTCATTTGCTGAAAGATACATGTTGCCTGAAAACTTTTTGACATCTCCACAGCATACATGAATGACAATCAATCAGAGAGCTATATTAAAGATATAGTCCATCATTTGTAATTTGTGCATTTTGTTCGTTTGAAGCAACAAAAGTGTTCAAAATCTAATGAAGGATACTGAACAACTAACCTGATGAAGTTTCAGCTAAGCTTCAGCTGTATATTCCGAGAAAAACAGCATTCTAGGATCTCAATTTCAAATCAAAAGTTACTGAATCATGTTTTGAATTGCAGCTATACGCGACGTCGCGCACTGATCCGACGAATTATAGCAACCGCGCGCGCGTGTGCGTCGTGCCAATGCTTGCGCACGCTTCGCCGACTAACAAAACGAACTACTAATTTAAATGTTCCTACGGTGCGTCTTAAGACGCACTGTTGGAAAGGCCTTCTTTCGTTGATTACTTCAAAATGACAGCTTCCCAGAAAGAATAATTTCACAGGGAGTTTAGTTCCCTTACTATCTTTCAACCAAGTTTGTTTTTCAACAATAATTACGCTAGTTACTTTTCGGATGGCTTTAAATGATGGACTATAGCTTTAAATTACTAGAGCGTTTCATTTTGCTCTGCTCAAACAACGCAAACCCGGGCTGTGCGCGTGTCCGCTGCAGATGATTTTTGTCGTGACGTTTTTTTTACCGTCGTGACGTGCTTAAGTTGTTTGCGTATGTTGTACTTGCGCGTTGCATTTAGAGTACACTCCATCTTCATCCATTCACTCCATCTAATCTCATTATGTTCTGCAAACATGCACATGAATTCAACATGTCTGCGTCCAGGACAGTTTTAAAGTGTCTCCGTACATAAGAATGAGGAGTTAGCGCTCTAGTAATTTAATATAGCTGTATGTAAACAATACAACTTATGCACAAGCATATGGGACCTTGAACCAGTCAAAAGTGTCTATTTTTTTCCTCTTTTTTTTCTCACTATACATGTATTTCCATGTTAGTGCACAAACCTATGGAAAAGTATATGTCAGTCAGAATTTATGCTCATTTTGTGGTGATGGGACACAAACAAGTTGATCAAATTAGGTTTTGCCCTTCACCGACGTTTAAACACTGTATACTCAGTGTGTTACCTCCCGAGTGAAAGTTGGAAAAAATCACTCGGGTGGGACTCGAACCCACGACCTCCTGCTTTCTAGTGCAGATGTCTAACCACTCGACCACTGACCGCAAAATTCCATCTTATAATAGTTTATGCGGTACCCGCTGCTATGTACATCGGATTAAAACCAGCGAACTGATCCCTTTAGCTAGGTGGTCGAGTGGTAAGACATCTGCACTAGAAAGCAGGAGGTCGTGGGTTCGAGTCCTACCCGAGTGATTTTTTCCAACTTTCACTTGGGATGTAACACACTGAGTATACAGTGTTTAAACGTCGGTGAAGGGCAAAACCCAATTTGATTTATATCACCCCGACGCAAAATTCCATCTTATATTAACACAAACAAGTTGTCTCTTTTTCTGGATTCAGATCCAGGGCCAGATGGGTATCTGTGAGGCCCCTTGGTGTGACTTCATGGCAGTGTGTACCCAGACCAGGGCTATCAGTCTCCAAAGGGTCTACTTCAACAGGACCTACTGGCAGTGTGTAGCCAAGAAACTCCGGCAGTTCTGCTTGATACTCAAGGAGGCCAAGCAGAGGAGGGTCTTGAACCAACAGGCTCTCAATTTCCCAGGTTTGGATCCTTGTTCTTGAACCCTAATCCAGCCAGATGCACTACAGTGCTGCAGCGGGTGTAAAAGTCAGGCATGCGACTTTTCCTCGGATCGGCTGATTTTCTTGGTTTTTACTTCTCATGAATGCCATACTCACAAAGGAGATTTATTCACATGGTGCTACCGCAAACTTATCTTGTCTTAGTATCTTTCCACCATGCAAACCTTCAAATCTCATGAAGGCCTTTACAAATTGAAAAACATCGTACAACGTCTTGTGTGGTTTGGAATTTACTTGTTTTTCTAAATTCCCAGTTGCATGCCTTAAAAGTATGTGGGACCGTGCTGCATTGAGCCATTAACACCAGTGCTTGAACTGCCAATTCTGAGACACTGAGAGCTAGTCCCTTATTATTATTAATTGTTTCTGGTAATGAAACCAAGGACTCCTCAAAAGCGCCCTAGGTACTGTAGCTCGCAAGCTTGAAGAAACCTGAAGAGAGAAGACAATGAGAAGAAATAACAGTTTTAGAGGTGGGAGGAAAACCCCAGAAGAATATTCTTGGGAAAACCAGCAAATCAGGTAGGGACTGAAAACCCAATCCACATATTGACCCAGGTGAGGCTCAAACCCGGGTCACAACGGTGGAAGGCGAGGCAAGTACCACTGTGCCAACCTGACTCCCCTTGAACGATGCCACAGTTGTATCCTGCTACAGTTGGTGACCAAGACTCTGAGGCATTGTAGCCTTGTGATTTTTGACCTGATGGATCTTGCTACACTAAATAACCCTAACCCTGCTGAATCCAACAGGATCCAACTACAGTAAACTCCGGCTAAGACGGCACTCTCGGGACCAGAGAATTTGTGAGGACTTACGCGAATGTCGGCTTCTGCTGCAAGTCGTCATTTTGCCTACTTACACAAATACACAAATTGAATCACGGAGTGAAAAAAATAGATTGAATTAACCCTTACTCTCTGAGGGTAGTTTACTGCATGTCAGTTGGTTATGCCAATGCCCTCCAGCTGCAGTTTATTGGAGGATACTTTGATGTAGCAGTGAAGGCTCCAATTGGCAGGAGTTGGAGGCCCTGGAGGGTGCCTGATACTGACCAGCTGGGGGCACTCACTTTGTTATCAGAGGACTCTCATTGTTCTCTGTGGCATGTATTGGAGTGCCTGTCCAGTTACCCTTGAAATGACATGGCAGATATTGGAGGGCCATGCAAAAAACATAGCAGATTTTCTTGAGGCACATATTGGCATGCGTTGGAGGGTCTAGTAGGGTAAGGGTTAATGGCCTATGCGCATCTGTATCTGGATCATGCAAACAAGATTCCTGGCTGAAATTCAAAGGCTTTGATTTACCCTGGTTTATTTCTACATCCATGGTTGATTCCACCAAATATATCCTCAATGTTTATCATCACAAACAGGCTGTGGTATTGATCACAGAAAGTCATGCATGTACATGTACGTACGTACGAAGCAAGGTTAACAGTGGTACGATATACAGATCGCTTGCATACTGTACGTCCATGTACATGTAGTGTACATTGTGCACGTACGTACAGTCACAAATTAAATGTGTGCATGGTACTGGTACAATAAGGGGACCCCCAAAATGAACAGAGCGCATGCGTGCAGTCGAGAGGGGGTACTGGTATTGATCATGCTATCAGGAAACCCCTTTTTGATCGCGCACGTGTAAGCGAACGATGCACACAATGTACAGACTGTGCATGAAACAGTACGTGCGATTAGTGTACATACGTGCTGGCCAATGCATCAATCACGGGCCATGCCATTGATAAACAGATGCCAGTTAGCAGTGTGTGGGACTTTTCACTCGACACTTCTTGCAAACCGCAGAGCACGATGCCGACTTATACAGAGGAATTTTCGTGGTTTTGAGGAAATGGGACTGAAAGTAACACGCCGACATAGGCGAAATGGCGGCTTACAAAGGCCGACTTAGAAATGAAAATGTCAATGGAAATGCATTAGAGACAATCGGGACTTTCATCAGACGGCCTATTGGATTGAGCAGTTAACTAACGACTTGTGTACATTCCTCATGCAAAATGTTGGATTCAGCAGGCAACTGAACCGCATTATAACGCTATGTTGGACTCCGTTGGATTCAGCAGACAACTGAAAATGAGGCACAGTGAATTGAGCAGGAAAGTCCGGTTGGACTCTGTTGGATTTAGCAGGGTAGTCCTGAGGAAGTACTTGGGGGTTAGGGTTCTGAGTAGGCTTCTCATTTCAATATGTGTTGCATGCTGTTGCATGTTGTTGCGGTTTATTTTTTCAATTTGTATGCTTTATTTTAACAACCCTTTTTCTTTTATTTTGAGCATCTGAAAGCCTCTGTTAAAAATCTTTTATTTTTTGTTGCTTTGGTGTCTCTAATGCAAAAAAAAAGAAATCCACCTGAATTATTTTCTGGCCACATAATTTCTGTGCTCAATCAATTTACCAGGTATGCAACTTTTCCTAGGATCAGCTGATTTCCTCAATTTTTTACAGCACATTTTATCCTTGAAACTAAAAAGAAAAATACTGCAGAGAGACTTATAAGTCTTGGAATTTCCTCTGCCAATGAGACAGAAACCTGAAAGAAGACAAGGCAAGCCTAGTAAGCTGGTCCCAGAGTGCACTCAATTATATTCGACTGATTCAGAATGGGGCACTGCCCAGTTCACAAATGACAGCCAGTCAGTGACTAAGTCAGCGAGTCTGTCAGTCTACTAGTTGACGCTACTGGAGTCGTACTCGACTCGAGACGTTGTGACCAATGTTTTATCTACATGTAATGCTTGCGATTCATCTCAGCCATCCAGCCCGATCCTGTGCAGCACTAACAGCCTGATCGTGTAAGAGGCCGATGGCGTTAAGGTCGTCTATGATCTGTGAGAGGTAGGTACGACGCAGGCCTCCTCCCTGTCGGAAGGGCTCTGATGGTTGGTTTTTGGGGTTCAGGAAGACAGCAAGAGGCACCTCGGGTCTCCGCAGTGCGTGACCAATTAAGCAAAGGCGACTTCTCAGGAGGGTGGTTGTGGCAGGTGCTACGCATGTGGTTGTGGCAGGTGCTACGCATGTGGGAGCGTACAAGTCGACGTTGGATAGCCGTACTGGGAAGTGCACACCAAGGCAGTAATGTAGTAGAGCACGGTGGGTAGCGTCAAGATGCCTGGCCATGGTTTCGGTGATCGCTAGGGCATTACAACTGTACAGTAGCACTGTCTCATCTGTGGACTTGAACAGCTGCATTTTGGCACTATCGCTGGCTACTCCGTCCCACACAGGTGTGAGTTTTCATGCCGCGACCCACGCCAGCTGTCGCCGCCGCTGAATGGCACTTCTGCTATCTGCCACGTTGCATCCTAGGTGATCACATGCTGCAAGGGTGACGCCGGCTGTTGTACAAATGGCAGTATGTGGAATGTCTCCAATGTACATATCCTTCGTCTTGTTGGCATTTAGGCATAGCTCTGTCAGTCAGATAGGTACAAAGAGGACACTAGGCTGGTACTAGCTTAAAAATGATATATATGCGTGATTTGTTACAATCCTGTGGACTTTGCTTGTTGTTGTAGGTATCCAGAGACTGAAGGCTGAACCCATTGCAAGAACATTGCTTCCTGGAGAGAACAGCATCAGAGTAGAGAACCTATTGGAGGTATTTAGCTGGCCATGTTGATATAAGCCTGATGGACATTCTTCCGACAATAATCTTTAGACATTCCACATCATTGTAGCGTAGTATTCCTCAGGTCCCCCCCCCCCCAAAGTTTTCTTCTGTTTCTGGTTACCCGACTGACCCTATTTTTACGGCCTAAACCTACACTTTTATCCGCAAGTTAAACAAAAAGTACAGAAAATTACATCGATTCTGTTTTACCCAATATGTTTTACATCAAACTTTTTTACATCAAAAACGTAATTTTTAGCATCTATACAAGATTTTTATTTTTTTGCCGACTGACCGACCCTACTTCAGAGGCAAAAAATAGGAGAACCATAGAAATGAAAAGGGACGTCCTTGTATGATGGTAACAATGGTCAATATGGTGGGGGGGGGGGGTTAGCCACCCTAACCGTCCCCCTTGGATTCACCCTTGAAGGCCTTTATGGAGCAAAGATAAAAGAGAATACCACCATATAAAATATACTTAATAATTAATTGGAAATAACAAATTGAAAGATTTTACTTTGGAAATCAGATGCTTTTGAAATATTCCACTTATGCCACTTTGTTGTTTTTGCTCCAGGTCGACAGCAAGGGCCAGTTCAGATCATTGTCGGGCACATGGATGGCATTTGATTTTTTGATGGGTAACCCGGTAGCGGGTACCAGCAGTCTACAGGGCTACCAGTACGAGTGGATCCTTCGGGAAATAGACAGTAAGATTAGGAATCGTAACGCTCCAGCTGCGGCAGGGATTACATAGCAATGGATTGCCTCAGTCATTAACTGTACATTTCATCATGTACTAATGGATCTCATACAACAGAACTCATGGTCTGAACACAGCCTCAACGTCATGGTGGATGGTGGATTTGGAGTCTGACAAGAACTGTGTTTCGGCACATTAGGCCCCCCAAAAAGTTTCTGGTATGCGCGCGCGTCGCCGTAGCCATGCGAGTCGGCAAAATGAAAAAAGGTTTTTTTTTCAATGAAAGATGATGTCTCAAAACCGCCAAACTCACTGGTTTGACTGGAATCCTGCTGCTGCACAATTTTAACGTGTTTTTAGATTGGGTTATGGTCGAGAATAAGCTTTATGTGGCCTCTCTGGACTCCCATATATTTGCAATAAGTTTAGTCGGGCACCATTTGCAGTCATCAGCCGACATTTGAAGCAAAAAAATCAGGTAAAAAAAAAAAAAAACATTCCGCGTCGCCGCACCACTTTTGGGCAAGCTCCATACCAGAAACCGGAGACTTTTTTTTTTGGCCTTAACCCAAAAGAGACAAAGTAAGAGTCTTTGGCCGGCTTTTTTTTTTTTTTTTTGGCTGTTTGTTACACTCCCACATTAGGTGCAGTTAAATTATTATTTTTTTGATTAAATCAAATCACTCATTTTGTAGACATCAAATAACTCAATTTACCCAATGAATTTATCTATTTTTTGTACATTTGTATATAGATGTATATATTTATTGTTCTCATCATTTTAATACTAAACAACATATCACAAAACCTCAGCAAATAGTACATTTTCTTCTAAAATCAGTAATAGCTCAAACATTTATTCTTGGCGAGACATTTAAAAAAAAAAGAAGAGGTTAATTATTTTGAAACAGCAATGATGCCAATTGCTACTGCACCCTCCTAAAAATAACATCCCGTATTACACAAACTGGAATGAATTTATTTAGTTATTTATTAACCACACCCAGCAGCAGAAGAACTGTCAATTATAAAAATGAACTTAGAAATGGGGGGGGGGGAACTAGAACAAATATATAAACAATGAACTCTATATACAAAAATTAAAATGAATAAAACTGCTGCAAACTGCTCTGTGACTCGATTAACCTGAAATATACAAATAAAAAAAATCTTAAGGTGGCCTGACGTTGCGATCTTAATAAGATCTTCAGAACAAGATGTTGTTAACCAAAGGGCAAAATTGTCCAGCCAATTTCTGATATACATGTACAGCCAAACGCCACATGCAAGAGCTATTTCAACAGTATTTGTGCGATATTTCTTTGGCTCGAAACACCATGGTGTCGGACGTACTCGGACAAATTGGAAATTTGGAATACCGGGTAATTACTTTTTCAGTTAATAGTAACAGCTGAACTGTTGAACATTGTCAGAAATAAACTATATTTCAATAAAATGCAGCTAATAAGTTTCAAAGTGATATGCATGTTTTATTTGTGGCATTTGGATTTTTTTTTAAAGTTTTGGCTTCAAGGTTTATAATCCCGTGGATTGCCCCCTACAAACCCCTCTAAGAAATGTGTATATGTTTAGTTTCTAATACCATGAATCATAACAAAAAAAGCACATGCATCCACCAGTATTGGTGCTCAAGGTGCAACATCATTATTACCCCTGCTCATTGGGCAAATGAATCTTTCCAAAGACAATCTCAGCTCCCTGGGGAGTATACAGCTCCATGCTGTCATTCCAGCAAAAAGCATCTACCACAAACCATCTCTGCCATCACAGGTACCCATCTACTCCTAGGTAGGGAGAAGCAATGAGTGACAAAGTGCCTTGCCCACACGCACCACAACCCCAGGCTGGACTCGAACCCACAACCTGCAGAATTACCCGAAGACCACGAATTCAATGCTCCAGACCACAAGGCCACGACACTCCACTGTTTTGATTAGACTTGACTCAACTTGGCTCCAAAGGCAGATCCACAAGCATCACATATCGTAGGTTAATTGTGTCGGTGAAATCCTTCCTCATAAACTCGGCACAGCAAGTCCGCAATTTTGCAAATTGCACTTTGTGATTGCTGTGTTCAGTCAGCATGGGTGAAAAGATTGAGTGAAATACATCAGAATATTATAAGCTGACCAGTATGGAGTCAACCGATTGGAGGAACCCTTGCCAAATCAAAGAAAGACATCTTTTAACCCTAACTCCCTAGTGTCCTTTACTAAGTACTGGACCAATTCCACCAAAATCCATCACTGACCCCGCTTCACATAACGCATTAGGACCAAAAATCCACTGAAATCCACCACAAGACCACCACTACTAAAGGTGGATTTTGATGGACTTGGTACAGATGGCTTGCCTACCAAAATCCCCAAAATGGGGAAATGGATTTTGATGGATATGGGTGGTTAGAGTTAATGTAGAGTAACATGACAAGAAATATTTTAGAGGCTCAGATGAAGAAAAAGACAAAATTTTGTCTAATATTAAAGCTTGAATTCCAATGTTAGGAAAAACCTCAAATACAGTAAAGCACATTTGAAGATTTACCCAATTAGTGTACACAAAGGTGTTAAAGGAGCTTTTGAGCACTATGTATACATTTGGGCCCTATGTAAACATTTTTCATAAAGACTGAACAAACAACTGAACTGGTAGCCAGCAGCTGAACACTTTACTATAATCAACACAGGGGATCCAGATAGGTTAGTGCTGGGGGGGGGGGCTCTTACAAGTAAAGAATGGCCTTATTTGAGACATTTTCTGTGGATGGGGGAGGGGGGGGGGCTCCGCACCCTGTTGGATCCACTGCTGTATAATAATTCATCTTTGAGCAAGGAAATTGCTTGATATTTTTTGTCATGTTATTCTAGATTAAACTTGTGGGTTTTTTTGCATTAGCCTGTTTCGTTTATTAATAAAAGGCAATACAAGCAATTGAAATAAGAGGATCTATTATTACAATCGGGTTAATAAATACATCAGTCCAATCAATCTACATTATTTCATTCAAGCTTCCATTAAGACTATTCATTTGGCTTTTTGTCATAATTTCTTTTAAATATATATATTTCTATATTTAAATTTCACCAAGATTTCTTTTTGTTGGAATTGCCATTTTTCTATCGGTACAAAAGTTATTCACTTTTTCCAACAGATTTTTGTGCAAAAAAAAGTACCTAAAACAAAAGTATTGGGGGATGTTGGGGTGCTGAAGTAAAACAAACTGATTATTTTAGGGGTGAACTGGATTTTATTGAAGAACATTATTTCAGTGTTGTCCATTTTACACAAGCTTTTTCATGAAACGGTAGTTAACACACAAGAGGGCGCTACGTAAATTAACCGTACAGCTAGCTAATCACGCTCGCTCGTGTATCGGCGTTTCGATGATGGAAGGTGAGCATGTGCCAAGACGATGTTTGCCAATCAATGCGGTAGGTAAACGTGGGGACGTCATGCTTGATCGCTCCGTGATATCAACTCGCAGCTTTTGTCACCGGCAGTTTCATCGGGATCCAGGGGGAGAAGCCCGCTAACTGTGGACCGTTAGTTTGTTCAAACAGCGGGGATTGCTGGATTTAGAACGCCAATATAAATCGGCTCCCGCACGGTGAATGGACCGCAGTGCGTGCGGCGCTCGCTTTCAGCCTGAACACGCTCCAGTACAGTCAGCGCTTGCGGTCCAGTCAAATCCGATTGTCAGATTTGTGGCCACTTGTGTTTATCGCCCGTTCCGCTGGCTGATTACCCAGGAATTGTTCTCCTACTTGTCGTAGGTGATTGGCAGTTTTCTGAGATTACTACCGGAGGAGGTGGCTGCCTGTTTTTTTGTCTTCCGATAAGCGCCGACTCGGTTCAGATCATGGGATGAGCACTCGCCCAAGATCTTCGCCGTGGTAAGTTCAATGGTCTATCGGTACATTGGTTTTTAAATTGATGGTCAAGTGCACTGCATGCACTTGCCAGTGCCGATGAAAACGGCGGCGGACAGAGGAAATGAAACTTTCAGCTCATTTAGAAACTTGAACATTTCTGATCTTTTTGGAAAGATTCCTATATCTGGCGATCACTAATTTTCCCCTTCAATATCCAAAAAAGTAAAGTTTAGCACTAGCAGTAGCAGGGAAAATATTGAAGTATTTACAGAGGAAACACTTAGAAATTTTCAGACCAGTCTCATAGGATTTGTGTACAGTGTGACAAGTGATGGCCAATCTTTCCATCTTTTTTTAATAGGAAAATGAATTCTCTTTTTTTCATATTTCTCTGTTGCTTTTTTTCCCTCCAATTTTTTCTTTGCAGCGTAGGGAACATTCAAGTAATGTATTTTTGTTTCAAACATTTGGTTTGACTCTAATTCATTGTATTTGTTTGTTTGATTTTTTTGGGGGGGGGGGTTGTTGTTGTTTTGTATCTGCTTTTATTTTGTTTTGAATTGCTTTGTTACTCATTTTCTATGCCAGGACTATAAAGCAGGCCATTGTGCTTGGGGTTTAGCTCTCTCCCCCCCCCCCCCCCATCCCAAGCCCTTTTTCCTCCAAAGAAATTACACGTGTACTTATAAAGATTTTGCACTTGTTATGCATCATAGCAACTATTCACCAGCTAGAGAGATAGGAAGTCCAGCCGCAAATTATTATTTGTTTTCGTGATAGCCAGCCATCTGGTCATATCGTTATCAGTAGTTCACTCTCAATAAATTTTTAAGGGAGTTTATAATGAATCATACATGTGAGCCATATGTCTATTTAGTTACATAGGCCTATATGTATCATAATCTTTGTCATCCCTTGCCAACGAGTGTCGCCTAATCTGATGGATTTTTTTAATTGCTCAGGGGCAGAGGTGTAATGGGGGGGGGCGGGGGGAGGGGGGTATCCCCTACTCCATCATACACCAAATGGATGCTACTGAAATTTATAAGGTTAAAAAAAATCAGGGCAAAGAGTCTTTGTCCAGTGTGCATTGGCTTAGACATATCTTTTCAGGGAGAGAGTTTTTCTAAAGAAAAAGAAAGTCAAGTTTTCTGGTCAACTGTGAAAAAAATTATAGTCTTGCAAGTATGTATACGCTTGTACTGTTCAGTAGTTTAATCGATGTCACATTCCACATATTTATCTACAATGTATTTGACTACTACACGCTGAGACCAGTGATCGGTCTGGTGCATTCTA